ACATTTTTTTTTTCAACACTGAAACAGTGAAACAAAAAAAAACCCACCCTGACTTCAGGAACCAAACAATGAGACTGAAAGAAGATGCTCTTGTTTGTAACAAAAGAGGACAAAAGTCAACTCTAATTAAAAACATATCTGAACTGAGCCCCACAGAAGTGTTACACCAGGATCTGCATTTCTCACTCAGTGTCACTGTTGCTCAGACACAATTAGGTAACAATGATGTCAGCTTGGTGTGGGAATCCAAAAGGCAACTGACTGATTTCTCTTTCAGCAGCCAAAGCCTGAAGCTGAAGAGGAAAGCTTGCTCCTGGCAAACACAGCCCCACAATCAGACTGACTTGTTGGTGGACTGAGTTAATGACACTGTAAGGCCATACTGAGGTGAAAGAACAACCAAATGATCATTTTGAAGCTATTCTTTCAGAAAGTTCAGTTATTCTCTCCAGAAAAACAAGATGTGACAGAAGTTCAAACCAAGGAATATTTTGAAACTTGAGTTTAACAGCCTTTCAGTAAGGACCAAAACAATAGCTGAGTATTCATCTTTTTGCTCAGTAGGGACAGGAGCCCCACTGGATTCCAGCACTGGTGCTCCACGGGAGGCTCAGCAGGATGCAAGTTCTGTCAAGAGTCTCCAAGACCACAACTCTAAACACACCCCCAACCCATTCAAGCCCCCCAGCACAGCTCTGCCATAAGCATGGGGTGTCCTCAACAAAAAGGTTGCCCAAGCCTAAGAATTAGGGGCCAGTTACCAACATGAAGTGGGTGACACAGGATCCACAAGGCCAGGATAAAGACTAGCTCTCCATTTTCACTTGCACAGCACTTCAGCAGATGAATCTTAACCTTTCAGTAAGGTGCCCAGCATTAAGCACAGAGCTTAAAGCCACACCTAAATAAACAGCCTCCCAGCACGTCAAGAGTGATAAATACTCTGCTCCCTTCAACTTTGGGAAGCTTTACAGATGTTCAGAGTTTCAGCTAGGCCTCAGTACGCTTCATGACAGGGTTTTGTGGCAAATTTTGGGCTCCAAAACATTTACCAAGAAGCTCTCACAGTAAGATTTGTTATTAATGTCAGCAGCACGTCCTTCATGTGGACTAAAGTGACTTTTGTGTACCACAGCAGCATGCTTCAGCTCTTAACCAGTGCACTGCCAGGCACTTTGGGTGCAGCCAAACCCCCTGTCCCATCCCACCACCATTTGGAAGAGTATGAGGGAGGCAGATATCCTGTCTGTGTCTGGGCTTGGGCACTACTCTCTTCTCTGTCACACTTAAATCTGACACTCTTCACACAGACTAAGGGTTATGTAAAATGTGATTTCCACCCAAAAACTACTATATCTTAACTGACTACACTATTCTTACAGTGGTAAGGCACCTAAAAAGAGGCAGGAGTCACTAAGTTAGCACAGGATTGTTTGACCTTCAAGAACAGTCATGTTTTCATTATACTACACATATTAAGGGACTTTATATAACACACAGAGACCTGTTAAGGTCTGAAGTTGTGAATTAGCTGTTACTACCTTACTAATAATGATAAATGAGATGCCAGCACAAGTTGCACTCTAATATTAGTATCATCTGAGGCTTCAAGCTACAGCTAATTCAGAATAAGTACAGATCCTCCTCAGCAAAGGCACCTACTAATCAGCAGGACACCTTTGGTTCAACCAAAACAAGTATCCTTGACCTGCCTGAAAGCAACTTTAAGTACTGAAATGTGAATATGAAAGCAACATTTTAACCTTATTGCTTCATAGAACGTGCCTGCATTGACTAGGACAGGCTGTATATAGCACCCAAATTGATTACACCTTCCACGTGCCACTTCAGGCTGCTGTCAAGGTTATTTGTTACAAAATTTACACAAAAAAATCACAGAAGTGTAAGTGGCTACATAATCTGCTTGCTCTGGGTCATCTCTTCTTTAGACACAAAAGGTACTTATGCACAAAAACAAGTTTACAAAGCTGAAGTGTCAAAGTGTTTCCAAAGAGAAGAACACTTAGGCCTGTTACAACCTCAGCTCCTCCCTGCTGCCTCAACAGTCTGAAACGAAACAGATTATTCTTCTAAGAACACCGTTGATCAGGAAACATATCTTGGAAAATTATATTTATGCCTACTGTACTATTTTAGTGCACACAAAAACTTGTATGGTACCAACCTTTGGAAAAGTCAATTGCTAACCGCATCTTCCTAACCCGATTTAAGGCAAGCTTCAGAATTTCTGGTTATTGTTTTTGTAGCTCCTCCCCTACGCGCACTCTCCAGCAAAGAAACAGAGCTGAGACAAGCCCTACTGCTAAGAACCAGAGAACTGGAGCCGGCACCGGCACACCGGGG